AGCGGTTTAGTGGACTGTATTTGTTAAAATGAATTTGACGCTGGTGTTGTTGTTATATAAACTAGATAACATTTCTTTTATTTAAATACAAAAAAAACAAATTTTGCCTGATGGCACAAATATAAATAAATTTAATACATGATGTTTCTGGCTTGACAGCACAGACAATATTTAACAATGTAACGATTTTAAAGACAATGTGTCTGGCCTGGTGGCACAGATAATAACTTACAATGAGTGATTCTGGCCTGACGGCACAGCTAATAATTAAAACAATGAGTGATTCTGGCCTGACGGCACAGATAATAATTAAAACAATGAAACTCTGGCTTGATAGCACAGGTTATAAATTACAATAAAAACAAATGAGAATATTATGTCTGGCCTGGTGGCACAGATAATATTTGACAATATAACAATTTACAGTAAAAAACAATTTATAGTAAAAACAATTTATAGTAAAAACAAATGTTTGTGGTGCACCTACCTATTGAGAGGTTATGGGGTGCGTGGTGCCGGGATCCGTAGGTAACCATTTAAAGACAATAAAAAATAACAAGTGTGATCCCGCACACACACAGTACCACCGCTAACCTACTCACAGAAGTCACCTCTCATAGACCACGCTGACTCTGCTACCAGTAATGGGAACGCTGAGCGTTGACCCAACCATCACCGTGCAGCAAAGCAGGTAAAACAAACGAAACGTCAAGGTATACTTTGTGTCATCCTAGACTAGGAAAGAATAATGATAAATCTAACCTTTATAATACTACAGAACGATATTTACTTTGAATACTGCATGCGGTGCTAAACACAGAGCGTGCTGAAAGTGTTCTCTTTGAAGATGAACAATTTAACACAAAATAAATAAAACGAAAATGACAGATGCCGGACAACGTGTGTGCTCATGACCGTCTTGCTCGAGCACCAAGAAGAAAAGAGAGCGAAGAGACATAAAACTGCTGCCTCATGTCCGTTGATTATATAAATGTACAAAGTTAGGAACGAAATGTGATGATGACTAGATACTACTACTGATAAGCTGCTATCACATTTTTGCCAGCGACTTTTGGTCGCAAACAGACCTATATACAATTTATTGATTTACAAAATTATTGGTGGCTGGGGAATCAAATATAAATTTGATTAAGCCATAACATTCTCCCCCTCCTGAAGGGATGGAGGAACTTCATCGTTGGCAGCATATGGAAGTGGACACAATTTGACGATGGGTCTCTGGAACACTCTGCCACCCGACATCTGAATGGTCACAACTCTTACAATGCTATCTAAACCAGGGTGCAGCCTCATTACTCTGCCAAGATGCCATTTGAGTGGTGGTTGATTGTCCTCAATGACTAGCACTAGATCGCCAATCTTTATTGAGAGTTGGTCAGCCGTGGTCCAACGCGTCCGTGGTTGGAGAGATCTGAGATATTCGGACGACCACCGTCGCCAAAACCCTTGAGTCATGCCTTGGACTAGTTGCCATCGTTTCAAGTAATTGACAGGTTGTTCTGGATGCTGAGGTTCAGGAGGTAGAGTCAGACAACCACCTACTAAAAAGTGAGCAGGTGTCAGTACATTAAAACTTTCTGGGTCACTAGACTGTGATGTCAGTGGTCTACTGTTTAGGCATGCTTCAATTTGACATAGCATGGTGGTTAGTTCTTCAAAGTTAAGTTTGGCTGACCCTGTGATGCGTAGAAGATGGTGTTTGGTAGACTTTACTGCCGCCTCCCATAGTCCGCCCATATGTGGTGCACTGGGTGGATTAAAATGCCACTCAGTACCATCTGTTGCTAGGGACTCAATTATGGTTTTGTTGTTCTGACAGTGCTCCGTGTAATAGCGTCTCAACTCTGCCCTGGCGCCGTGGAAATTGGTTCCGTTGTCAGAGTGAATATGAGCACTTTGACCTCGTCGCGCGAAGAATCTACGTAATGCAGCCAAAAAAGCTTGTGCTGAGAGATTACTTACTGCCTCGAGGTGAATTGCACGCGTGCTGAAGCACACAAATACTGCAATGTAAGCCTTGGTTACTGTTCGATTTCTTGGACCAGAATATATTTGTATTGGGCCAGCGAAATCTACACCCGTTGCTGTGAAAGGTCTGCTGGGTGTTACCCTGAGCCGAGGTAGTTCTCCCATGCTGGGCTGAAATGACTGGGGTCTTGCACGATAGCAGATTTGACAACAATGAACAATACGTCGAGCAGTTTTCATTGCATCAAGTGGCCAAAATTCTTGACGTACTCTTGTCAAGAGGTTTTGGGGACCGGCGTGCAGATACTTTATATGATATTCTGTGAAAATTAGTTCCGTAACGGTATGCTTCTTTGGTAGAATTGCTGGATGACGTTGGTTGATTGGTAGGTGTGATCGTTGCAACCGTCCACCCACTCTGATGATGCCTTCTTCCAGAAACGGACTTAGTGTGAGAAGTTTACTATGTGATGATAATGACTTGCCTTGTTTAAGCGACTTGACTTCATCGTAGAATGCCTCTGTTTGAGCAATCCTTATCCATACATCTCTGGCAGTCTTTAATTCTGTTACTGACAGTGGACCAATGAGACTGTCTCGACATTTATGGTGGGTATTGTGTATGAATCTTTTTAAGTATGCTGTAATGCGAATTAATTTTGTCCAACTTGAGTATTTAGCTAGAATACTATTTTCTTGAGTTTGAACCAAGAGCGCAAACTGAACTGGACGTTTTTCAAGGAGTTCACTTGATGGTGCGGATGAACATTCTGCTGGCCACTCTGTTTTCGGCTGCTGGAGAAAGGTTGGACCGTACCACCAGAGAGTTGAGTGTAATAGGTCTTATACCTTTACACCTCGGGACGTTAGATCTGCAGGATTGAACTTCGTCCTCACATGTTGCCAAGTCATTTCTTCTGTTAATGTCTGAATTTCAGATACACGATTTGCAACAAAGGTGCTCCATTGACTTGAGATTCCTCGGATCCATGTTAACGCAACTGATGAGTCTGTCCAACATGTACAACAATTTGAGCTTACATCTAATGTCTTTCTCACTTTAGCCATCAACGTTGCCAACACATGAGCACTACACAACTCCAACCTTGGAAATGACAATGCCTTTAGAGGTGCTACTCGAGCCTTCGCGATCAGAAGATGACATGAGAAGGTGTTGTCCGGTTGTAATTGTCTTACATAAATGCAAGCTCCATATGCGTTCATGGAGGCGTCACAAAACCCATGTAATTCGAAACTGTTGCACGGATGATCCTTCACCTTGCGCACTACCCTGAGCTGATCAATCTGACAAAGTTCATTAGTGTAATTATGCCAGCGTTGAGACATGTCAGCTGGAAGAACAGTGTCCCAATCAAGCTGCAGTTGCCATAATTGCTGAATAAATATTTTTTCACTAATCAAAACTGGTGCCAGAAATCCCAATGGATCAAAAACACGATTCAAGTCTGCCAGTAATGTGCGTTTGGTGAATAAATGTCCCTTTGCATGAGGCGACACCTTAAACAGAAGTTGATCATCCTTTGGGTTCCATACTAATCCAAGTGTTTTAGTTGTATCATTGTCATTTAATTCAAGCATGACATGAGGATCATCGTTTGTGTTTGCTATGTTAACGATTAGTTGCAGACTATTTGCACACCACTTACGAAGAGTCATTCCTGCTGACTGGAGTATCATGGTGACTTCTCTTTGGATTTCTTGACATCTGCTGATTGAATGAGAACCTGTTATTAGGTCGTCGACATAGAAATCTTGTCTGATTACTTGAGCTGCCTGTGGATGTTTCGCTTTGTTTATGTTTGCAAGTTCTTGTAAACACCGCGTAGCTTGGAAAGGAGCTGATGTCGTTCCATAAGTTACTGTGTTGAGTTGAAAATGTAGCAATTCCTTTTCCGGCGAATCTCTCCATAGTATTCTTTGGTAGTTCCTATGTTCTTGATCAATTAATATCTGTCTGTACATTTTCTCAATGTCTGCAGTCATGACAAACCTGTGCATTCTAAACCGTAATAATATTGATACCAAATCATCTTGGACAACTCCACCATTCATCAGCATATCATTTAGAGATTTGCCACTGGTGGTCTTGGCAGATGCATCAAAGACAACTCTTGTTTTGGTTGTGAGGCTCTCTGCTCGCAGCACTGCATGATGTGGGAGATAATAACAGTTGGTATGTACTGCATCAACATTTTTAATTTGTGACATGTGCCCTAACGCTTCATATTCCTGTAAAAATATGATGTATCTTGAACGTAACTCATTGTCTTGTGACAGTCGTTTTTCCAAACTAAAGAATCGTCGACGAGCCATGTCATATGAAGATCCTAGAATTGATTTGTCCTTGATAGGAAGCTTGAGACTGAAACGTCCTTCTTTGTTTCTAGTGTATGTGGACTTGAAGTGCTCTTCGCATTCCACTGCTTCTTTGCACAGGGTAGAAGGTTTGTCGTCATTGTTATAGATTGATGACAGTAAACACATTGACGGTACCGGGCGTTGAGCTTGATTGCCTTGATTTACTTTTCCAGATACTATCCACCCCAGCTTGGTGTTGCGAATAGTAACTAATTGATTGTGTACCTTTACTTGTTCATTGCCGAGCAGGTCAAAAAACAGTTCTGCTCCCAGCAACAGATCAATGTTACCTGGTTTATAAAACTCTGGATCGGCTAGGTTGTTTTGAACATGCTCTGGCAATTGCCATTGGATGACATTGATATATACTGCAGGAAGTTGATGCGTAATGGCACTGATGATGGACATTTCTACCTTCTTTGAGTATTTGGAATGCAATGAATGCAATTGTCCATGTATCCAACTTGATGTGTTCATCACAGAAGATCCAACTCCACAGATAGGCATTGTGCCTTTATGTTTTTGAACATTCAATTTATTTGCTAATTTGGTTGAAATTAAATTGATTTGTGAACCACTGTCGAGTACCGCTCGTGCCTTTATTAATGTGCCTGTACTATTTTCAATATTCACTATTGCTGTTCCAAGTAGTACATGACTGTTACTTTGACTGTGTGCACAAAGTACTCGGGGGGTCCTTGAGGCTCAACAGGAGAAGTAGGTGTCTCTGGACTTGACTGAGCCGGTGATTGTTGATCTGGTTCAGTGCTTGAAATTGTGTCATTGTGTAGCAGAGTATTGTGCTTCTTGCTACAATTTCTACATTTGCCAGCTGTACAACTTGAATAAGAGTGTCCAGTTGATAAGCAGTTAAAACATAGATTTTGCTTGCGAACGGCTTCGTGACGCTCTAAGACAGTCATGTTCTTGAACTTGAAGCATCTATAGATTTCATGTTTGTGGCTGCAGATTGGACACTGGCTGTTCTTTATTTTTTGAGCAACGAAACATGCTTTGGTCCCTTGGTTTTTTGTTGCCTTAATCTTTGTGTACTTGTCATTGACTGTTGACCCAATTGCTATCTCACCTGCCTCATAAGCATTTACTCTGTTTGATAGAAATTGCTCTAAGTCAGTGAATGTAGGTAATTGTTTTGACGTTTGTCTTAATTGCCATTCAGACACCGTGATGTTGTCAAGACGACAGCATAACAATGTTACTAACCATGCATCCCATTCCTTTACTGGTTGTTTCAGTGACTCCAAGGCACGTACGTTAGTGACGACGTGGTGGTGTAATTGATGTAGTTGACTTGCCGACGCAAACTGTACCTTAGGTGTGTCGAACAGAGCTCGGATATGGGATTGAATGATGAGTCCTGGATTTTCATATCGCTCAGCTAGCTTGGCATATGCTTGACTGTAATTGTCATTCGTGAGAGGAATGGTTTTTACAACGTCACTTGCAGTCCCAGTTAGGTGTGATTTTAGGAATTGAAATTTCTGTACTGGTTCCAAGTCAGGGTGATCGTGGAACACAGCATTGAAACTGTCTATGAAGGAGGTCCAGTTCTGTAAGTTTCCATCAAAGATTGGTATTTCAATAGCTGGTAGCCGAAGTGTTCTGTTTCTCCCTTCTCTACCTGCTGACGTTGCTTCTGAGCTTGAGTCAATTGAATTGTTATCCAACATTCCTTTCAAGCATGCCTTGACATCCATCATTAATGATTGAAAGTTGAGTCGTTCTGCAATTCTTTCCTCATCAGGTTTATTCTCCAACAATTCCAACTTGTCTTGCAATTCCTCAAATGACTGACTCATGGCATTCAGTTCATCCAATCGACTGTGAACTTGATTCCTGTTGATGACATCTGGACTTTCAGCTGCAAATGATTTCATAGCCTTAAGAGAAGTGACCATAAATGTAATTTTCCTTGCCAATTGATTGGCAATCTTGATTTGTTCTTCATTCATGGTGATGAGTTTTACTTAATTCTAAGCACACTTGATAATGATCTTTGACTTTAAGAATACAATAAAAAGTGAAAAGATGTGCTTTACATTGATTGCAATTGCACCATGTGCTTTTTTTTTTACAATTAAATTTATAACCATTTAAATTTAATTAATGCTACCTATTTTATTAAACAACAACGATCCGGTTCGAAGATGACCAAAATGTTAAGGGCCAAAGGGCTTATTAGGCTGGCTTTGGTAATCGGTTTAGTGGACTGTATTTGTTAAAATGAATTTGACGCTGGTGTTGTTGTTATATAAACTAGATAACATTTCTTTTATTTAAATACAAAAAAAACAAATTTTGCCTGATGGCACAAATATAAATAAATTTAATACATGATGTTTCTGGCTTGACAGCACAGACAATATTTAACAATGTAACGATTTTAAAGACAATGTGTCTGGCCTGGTGGCACAGATAATAACTTACAATGAGTGATTCTGGCCTGACGGCACAGCTAATAATTAAAACAATGAGTGATTCTGGCCTGACGGCACAGATAATAATTAAAACAATGAAACTCTGGCTTGATAGCACAGGTTATAAATTACAATAAAAACAAATGAGAATATTATGTCTGGCCTGGTGGCACAGATAATATTTGACAATATAACAATTTACAGTAAAAAACAATTTATAGTAAAAACAATTTATAGTAAAAACAAATGTTTGTGGTGCACCACCTACCTATTGAGAGGTTATGGGGTGCGTGGTGCCGGGATCCGTAGGTAACCATTTAAAGACAATAAAAAATAACAAGTGTGATCCCGCACACACACAGTACCACCGCTAACCTACTCACAGAAGTCACCTCTCATAGACCACGCTGACTCTGCTACCAGTAATGGGAACGCTGAGCGTTGACCCAACCATCACCGTGCAGCAAAGCAGGTAAAACAAACGAAACGTCAAGGTATACTTTGTGTCATCCTAGACTAGGAAAGAATAATGATAAATCTAACCTTTACAATACTACAGAACGATATTTACTTTGAATACTGCATGCGGTGCCAAACACAGAGCGTGCTGAAAGTGTTCTCTTTGAAGATGAACAATTGAACACAAAAAAAATAAAACGAAAATGACAGATGCCGGACAACGTGTGTGCTCATGACCGTCTTGCTCGAGCACCAAGAAGAAAAGAGAGCGAAGAGACATAAAACTGCTGCCTCATGTCCGTTGATTATATAAATGTACAAAGTTAGGAACGAAATGTGATGATGACTAGATACTACTACTGATAAGCTGCTATCTCATTTTTGCCAGCGACTTTTGGTCGCAAACAGACCTATATACAATTTATTGATTTACAAAATTATTGGTGGCTGGGGAATCAAATATAAATTTGATTAAGCCATAACACTCACTTCTCCGTTTTCCGTGCAGACGTGAACTCATCTTTTCTGGCTTTCTGCAGATTTTATAGTGTTACAGTGTGTATTACTTATACTAATACTACAAGTATTACTTGCAAGTGTTTTCCAGTGTATTCGCACAGACAGGTAAGCAATAAAATGATTTGTTTTATTTGTAAAGCAGTTGTCAATAATTTGCATGCTTTGGTGGCTCACTTTAAAATAATTCATCTCTTAAAACCGGATAGCACCTATGTTTGTTGTGAAGCATTCTGCTCTCAATCATTTAACTGTCTGTCTTCTTTCAAAAGACATATGCTAAAAAAACATGTTACTCAAAATTCTAATAATACAATATTACCACCTAATGAACAGCAAAATAATATACTTAACAATGAAATTTCAAATGAAAATAAAAATAATTTTTCTAATGAGAATAATGACAATCAATGTGTTCATAATATAGTTATTAGTACGTTTGATTTTGAAAATGCAGTTGAACCTTATATCAATCCACCGTTCAATTTATTTTAAGATTACATAATAGTAATAACTTTAATATTAGTGATGTAACGTTCATTCAATCTGAAATGAAAGAAAATGTTTTGAAACCCATGGCCTCAGTTTTTAAAAAATTAGTTGAAAAAGAGATTAATGAACCTTTACAACTTTCTAAAATTTTGAAATTTGAAACAGTTATATTGGACCCTTTTATTTACTGTAGTACAGAACACCGCTTAAATAATTGGTATAGACAGAGAAATTTACTGTCACCTCTGCATCAGTTTACTATAAATAATGAAATTGTGCCTATGGATCACGCTGGTAATATCACATATGATGAAAAAATAACTAAAGGTGCTTTGCTACCATTAAAACAACAATTCAAATTGAATTTTGAACATGAAAATAATTTTAAATTGCATTATGATGAACTGTTAAAATATGAGCAAAGTGATAGTGATGTAATTTCAAATTTTGTGCAAGGTAAATTATCTGAAGAAAAAATAACATTATATGAGGGTAAAATAGTATTTCCATACTTCTTATATGTGGATGAATTTGAAGTAAATAACCCCCTAGGCTCACATGCAAATGTTCAATCAATTGCTGCTGTATTATATTATAACTTTCCACTTGCTACAAATAATTCTAAGCTCTCAAGTATTTTTTTAGCAGCACTAATAAAATCAATTGATATTAAAGAGTTTGGAAATGATAAATGTTTTAAAATTTTAATAAATGAATTAAATGAACTTGAAAACATTGGATTGAACATATCTACTGAACATGGCAATTTTCGTGTACATTTCCTACTTGGCCTGGTGTTAGGTGACAATTTAGGATTAAATAGTTTACTAGAATTCAGTAAGTCGTTTTCTGCCAACTATTATTGTAGATTTTGTAAAATCCATAAATCTGTAGCAAATGAGTTTTTTGAAGAAGATGCATCAGTTATGCGCAATATTCAAAATTATTCTGAAGATGTGGCTAAAATGTGTTTTAGTGAAACTGGTGTTTATAACCAGTCTATTATGAATTCATTAAACAAAAAACTTTGTGCAGATAGTAGGTATGCATGATTTTTTTGAAGGAGTATGTCATTATGACATGTGCCATATAATAAAATATTACACTTCTACTGTTAAATTATTTTCTTTGACCACACTAAATAATCGAAAAGCTAATTTTTAACTATGGCACTATTGAAGTAGGAAATATATCTCCAAATATAACTGAATTACACCTAAATAAATGTCATTTAAAAATGACAGCCAGAGAAATGATGACATTTTTTCATTTTTTCTCTCTTAAGCCCGGTCCAGACCAAGAAACATTTGTAGGAAACATATTATGTTTCTGACATTGTGGTCGACAAATATTTATGTTACCGCTTATGAGCGGTCGATGACAATGTTGGAAACACTTGTTTCCGACAAATTTTTCTTTAGTGTGGACGGGGCTTTATGGTTGGAGATTTAGTCCCAGATAACTGTAAAGTATGGAACTTTTTTTAACGCTTCTTAAAAATTAAAATAGTTGATTTAATTATGGCATATACAGTGCCGCAACTAAGGTTATTGGGGCCGGGGTGCCAAACCAAATAATAGGGCCCCTTACTTTCCAAAATTTTACGATATATTTTCATGAAAAATATATTTGTAAACGTTAAGTATCCATCACCATTTAAATTTCTTTTTAACTAAAAAAATACAAATTTACACTAGATAAAAATGGTTGATATAGGTACGTTTAAAATTATAATAAAAAAATTAAATATTTATGTTTTTCATATGTTTACATATTATACATAAACATAATACATATATTTGCTTATTTACACTATTATACAAAAAGTAAATACATTTAAAATTATAAAAAAATTACATATTTATAATAATAAAATTACTTTAAAAAAATTTTTTTTCTGCTTTTTTGATTGGCAAAGTCTAAAATTAATTTTTCTACATCAAGTTCTTCAGTGCGAGCTCTTTCTATATTTAAGATACTTATGTTAGTTAATTGGTCTTGAGATATCGAGTTTCTTAAATAGTTTTTAATCGATTTAAGTTTAGAAAATGATCGTTCGGCCGTTGCAACAGTCACTGGTAAACTTAAAAATATAATAGAAGGTGTAACAACTTCACTATACAAAGATGATAGGTCGTTTTCTATTAAATATAAACATAATTCTTTAATTGTTTTCATATCAGTGTTTTTTATAAACTCCTTTAAAGATAGAACTTGACTAGTTAAATCGGAAGTTACGTCAGTTTTGTAAAACTGAATAAAATCATAGCATGATTTTACTATTTCTGCTTCATTTAATTTTATTATATTTGGTGGCAATAAAAAATTAAAAGTATTTGATACTATTTTAAGTCCTTTAAAACGATCTTTGAGTTGAAATAAAGCAGTATCAACTAATGGTAAAAATACTGAAACATAAAATTTTTCCTCTGTAATATCCAATCTCCTGTCACCATCAACTTCACCAAATAGTTTTTTAGAATAAGTTTTACGTTTATTTTCATTCTGAAATTGTATTCCCCATTTTAAACACATATTTTTTGCTGATTCTACCAGTTCTTTATAATTATGTCTCATATTTTTAATTGAATTAATACCAATTTGCAAAAACTCACTGGCTTGATGGATACTGGTTTGTGAGCACTGTAACATCTTGGATACCACAGATAATGGTTTCAAAACATTTTCCCAAATAATTATAAGCAAAACAACCTCAAAAGATTGCATTTTTTTTAAAAGAGATTTTGCTCTATATTTAATTCATCACTTTTTTTGCTGGTTAGTGAAATATTTGTCAAAGATTTCAATACATTAATAAAATTTTCTTTTAATGCATATAAAGATGAATGTGTCTAGCTTCCCATCTTGTATTACACACTTTTTTCAAAACTTTTTTTTGTATTTGATTTGCTATATCATTACCAAATGCTAATGATGCCCATCTAGGTGCACTTTGGCTCAAAAACAAATATATATTTTGAACTATATCAAAAAATGTAGAAATTTTTAATGAACTTTTGGAAACATCAGCAATTACTAGATTTAAGTTATGATCCGTACAATGTACATATAAGGAACTAGGGACTACATCCGAAATCCTTTTTTGTACCCATGATTTAGCACCGCTCATAACTGAGGCTCCGTCGTAGCCCTGTCCTCTACATTTTGTAATATCTAAATTATATTTTTTCAAAATATTAAGTATTAAGTTGAAATTACCTTCTGCGCTATGATTCATCAATGCATAAAATCCTAAGAACAATTCCTTTATTTGCACATTATGTTCATTATAATTCACAACAATATACCTCAGTATCACAGAAACCTGGTCAATTTTGGTAATGTCTTGTGTTGAATCTACTATGATTGAGAAACACTGTGCCCTTTTTATTTCTTCACATATATTTTTCCTTAACTCAGCAGCCAATAATTCAATAAGTTCCTTTTGTATCTTCCAACTTAAATATTTTATTTTTGATTCTTCATTATATTAAAGTTTACTTAAAATAGGATCAAACTCTGCCATCAATTTAACTGTGCGTAAAAAATTGCCTTCAGAATTACTGTTAACTTTTCCTTCATTTCCCCTTAATGCAGTATTTCCTGCAGTAAGGCATAATATTATTTTTATTAATCGTTTTAAAACTTCTCTCCAGGATTTTGCTTCTTCGGATATATGCTTTTCCAAGTTTTTATCTATAGTTTCATTTTTCAACCAAATTATTCGCAATTGCATGGCTTCTATATGCTGTGTACAGTTTTCATGTTTGATAATTTTTTGAGTTAAATGTTGCCAGTCATTTATACCATTTAACCAATTTAATTTAAGTTTATGATTTTTTCGATCCGCAAACAACCAACAAGACTCACAATATACTTTATTTAAAACTAATGAATAACACAGCCACATTCTAGGTACTTTAACGCCGGCTTTAGTAGTCATATAATAATAGTCTTTAGAAAAGTGTCTGCTAGATTTCATAGTTTCATTTTCATCACTAAAAATGTTGTCCGCAGGGAAGTTTATTGAAGGTTTGCAAGGACCATATGATAAAATTTGTTTTTTTAAATTAGAACTGATTGTGATATTTTGAAAATGTCCTCTATCTGATGGAATTTCCAACTTTAAATCCAATTCACCAACTAATCATATGCAAATTTAAAAAAATAAATACATGTTAAATTTCTAGAATGGATAGTAATAATAATTTTAACTTATTGATATATTATTAGTTATTACTCATAAAATATTTTAATATCTTTATTTAAAAAGATCTTCAGATATTTTATTTATAATATTTAAAAAAACTTTTGTCTGAACAAATTAACGACTTGATATTTAACTACTGTACCAATTTAACCATTTAGTGGGCAATGGAAAATAATTTCCCACAAAAAAATTTAAATCTTGAAGGTTCTGTTTCAGTAATTATCAGTAGAGCGCGCCAGAGCAAATGTCAATAAATCACTAAATTCAGAAAATTGTATACTATATATTTCATTTTTTTTTATTTTTTTTCTCTATTTAGTTTTTCTTACACGATTTAAAATATTATTTTTTTTTTGTTTTATTTTTTTCCTTTGACGACTAAAGGGTCTTAAAGAATAATTATAGTTTATATAAAATATAATAATACCTACCATTAGAATCATCCATATCAATTTTGGTTTCAGACATTTCATCTTCTTGTTGTATGGAATCAATTGTATTATTAGTTTTCAATTCAATATCTTCATTTTTTGTAATACCTGAATATCAGAATTAACCAATTCATACCATATAAACTACAATCTATAAATATTTTGAAATAAAATAATAAAGCTTGTAAAATAAATCCTTTCCTATGTCAAAATTATTACTTACCAATATTATCATTATTATATACCGGCGATGCAGTTGTAGTATCTGATATCCCCTTTGGTATCATAAATCGATTTAATGATCCAGCCCATTTTTTCGTTTGCTCTTCTCTTTTTTGTTTTAACTTTCTTTTTGCATATCCACTAAGAGAAGCCATTCCGATTATTCCGAAGTTATGATAAATATATAAACTAAAATGTATAAAATACGTATCTACCTATAAACTGTACGGGTACGACGTAACCAGAGTGGCAAATATTAAAATGATTATTAACAATTGACATGTGTACCGCACAACCACGTACACTACTACACTATATTTTTCTGTGTGCGAGCGTCCGACCATTCTATGAATCAGTCTTATCAATCTAATATCCCCGATCGACAGAATATTAAAAATAGACATACAACAGTCACTGCTAAGATAAGATTAACAAGAAACGGTGCCTGTGGTACAACCACTACGACCGTATATATAATGTCAATATATTATATATGTATAGTTTTCAAAAGCGACTATATTTCCTAATCGATATTCGATAGTCAACGGTACTGCGGTGTCGCGGTGGTTTATTAAAAATAAATTATTACTGATTCTGCTTTAACTTGTAACATGTTTGTTTCAACAGAACATAATATATATTTTATTCATAGACACCCTTTATTATCTATATTAGTTTCTAATTTTCTACGTAATAATTCTAAGTATTTTTCAATAATTCCTGCACCCCCAGTAGTTGCGGCACTGGCCATATACATTTACTGAAAATTCAATTTTAAATTTAAAACAGTTGATTAAACAACATAACTTTCTGTATGTAACACTTTTTGGACACAATTTGAAACCAAAGCACCACTTTCTAATTCATTATCCTACAATAATACAATATTCTGGCCCACCAAGAAATGATATTTGAAGGCAAACATAAAGAGATTAAAATGTATGCTCGTTCTACATTTTATTCTGCAGTCTAACAATACAACAATTGTAATAAATCCAAAATATTGTATTTGTACACTTCATTCTGATGCAATATTAAACACAGTTTATATTCCATTAACAACGTATAAGTGCTACAGCCAAGTTGAATATATGGGAACTGTATATAAAAGAGGTTATTGTTTAACAACATTTATTGATGAAATGTGTTTGTTTGAAATTTCAGAGAAAATAGTTGTAAATGATTATTCCAATAGTTTTATAGTATCTAAACAAATCCAAATTTTAGACTTTCATATACATTTTGAAGCTTTTGAAATTGATGAAAAAAAAAACAGTAGTTGATGATTGTAAAATAAACAATATCAATGAATTTAGTGGTCCACCTATAAACATCATAAAAACTGCGACAGGAAAATTGATGATTCGCTTAAAGGAATTTTTTTCGTAATCTATAATAATTTTTTAACTATATTTTTGTACATACTAATTTTATAGCTTATTTTGACCATATTATTTTAACTTTAATTGCACAGAAGCTTGCTGCTGATGCTTCTTAATGCTTAGTGTATAGCACTATGATTAGTATAGTATACTATAGTTGACAGTTTAACTTGATTATAATTTTTTTTAAAAGTAATAATAATACGGGTAATGGGGGGGCTTTAGCCCTTTAGCCCCCCCCCCTGCGGACGCCACTGCGGCCACTTGCTTATTAACTTGTTATTAATGTTATTATTTGTAATAGGGCCACAGTTTCCAACTACGGCACTAAAAATGATAATATTGCATTTCCAGTTGGGTACCTAGTATATATTATTATAGTGTACTGTTACAAATTATTAATTAGTAATTTACTATCGTCAGTCATCACGCATTCACGTATCATTCATCACTGTAAAATTAAATTATTTAATCTTTATAATGTAAATTAGTAATATACCTATATACTTTATACTTCTATATTGAATATATTATTGTATTCTATGATACTTCAATATTCTTTGAACATTCTATTTAATCCATGGCCGCATCTTTAGGGGGTGAGGGACATATCCTCAATAGAAAATAATAAAATATGCAAAAATAAAATTCAAACCATAATATGCTTTTCATTTTTTTTTAAATAGACCGAAGCAGGCCACATTTTACTTAGAAATAAAATTAATTAAGTTAATTTATTATTGAGAAGTGCTCTACTAAATTTGTACCTATGGAAAGTACTTTATTTATCAGTTTTCAAACAGAAAAGTAACTACCTACGTCACTACCTTACATGTTAGTTAAAAAACACAGTTGATGTGTATTTCTTTTACTTCTTAACGACAAGCAATGTGAGTACTGAGTAGAGTAGTAGACATAGACACATAGTTAGTAAATAATAAATAGATATTATTGGAAAGTAAGCAAAAAAAAAAAAATAAAAAATTTTTAATTTTAAATTATTAAAATTTAAAATAATATATTAGTGTTAATACTTAAATATAAATAATATCCATGTTATTAAAATTAAAACAAGGGATATGGTTCATCGGGAGTATCCAAATTTCCCCAAAATATTGTTGTCCCAATGTACAATTTTCCCAATTTTGGAATAAAAGTTAATTGGGATAATTGTTTATTGTATACATAAATATTTGGGATAAAAGTTATTTAGAAACAAAAATATTCGATATATAGATTTCGTTAAAATAAGAACCCGAGAAATGATAAGGTTTGAAATTCGAAAAAGTAGTACCAACTGACTAAATCGAAATTACCTAATTAATTACGAGTGATAAGCTGTTGTCCAAAAAATTATAAGGACAGATAAGAGTGGTTAGCCTGTGGTTACCCAATGACCAACTTGACGTGGTGTTGAACAGCAAGTTGGGGGATATTTTCGATTTGCGGAGTGGAGCGACGGCGCTAAGGCTCTAATAGACACGGGTAAAGACAGCGGCCATTTTCTTTCCAAAGCTGATAAATGATAATAGCTATACTCCGGCCCACGAGAGAGTATTACCGTTTTGCGCATGCAGACTGACGGCGGAGACCGTTCCGAGGCCCCATTTCCCCCACTATTTCCGCGACCGCTATACACCGTATAGCGTTGAGCGCTGCCGACCGGTACCGAGCAGTTGTCGGCACATGCCGAGTAGTGGGGAATGCGCGGAATCGGACGAGTTTTCGTCGGCCGACGGTAATACTCTCTCGTGGGCCGGAGTATAGTCATGTTTTTATTAAATTTGTTTTGTGGAATTGAATTTAGGTAATTAATGAATAAAGGTAGGGAAATATATATTTGAACGATTATTAACGATTTTTCATAGACGTACTTGTTTTGATA